ACCTTTGTAAGCTGTTGCCATGGCAACTCCACTGTGCTGTACAGTAGAAGCCATTTTACAAAAGTACCATAGAAGCCATTTTAAGGCACAACAGGCTGTATCTTAACAGAACTTGAATCCAAAAGGCACACTATCACTCTCAAGAGTACTGTGACTTGACACCATAGATATAATTCAGTCCTTTTCATTTCAGTGGCCGAGGCATTCCAAAGTTATGCTGGAACATACATACATGGACAGACACACCCCAAACGGGTGTTAGGGATGTCTTACCCCCACAGTATTTTTTTTCCAGAGAGTAAGTCATCTATGTACAAAGTTTGGTTGAAATTGCTCGAGGCGTTCCAGAGTTATGCTGGAACACACAAACACACACTTTTATATATAGAGGGAGATACTGTCACAGCTCCTCTACAAATTTGACTTAAGGAGAGACTTGGAGAACAAAACTGGTTGCTCAAATGGGGATCCTCTGTGTCCTTAATTACAACGAATATATTGTATTGTGCTGCTCTCCTCCGATCCTCGAAAGCATTTGCAATTGACAGATTTAAGCTAGTTTGTTAGCAAGCAGGAACAGAAAGTTTCAGGCTAACTTTGGAAAAAAAAAGAAGACAAAAACCAGGAAAGCTGCCAGCTAAAGACAGCCAAAAAGATATTGCTGGCAATTGTCATTAAAAACGATCTCATTAGTTTCTGAGAAACGTGTGCCCGGAAGGTTAAAAGTTATTTCTGTTTACAGGAATGCTTACCGTTATTAGGATTGCAATGTTCTTTTTAAAAAGGCATGCCTTGCTTATCCGAAATTATGTTCTTTAAAAAAAGAATACATGCATAAGGATAGATGCTTGGAAGCAGTGGTGAAATCTAATTCCCCCCTCCCCCACTGGTTCTGTGGGCGTGGCTTGGTGGGGAGATGTCATGTGACTGGGTGGGTGTGGCCAACATTTTTTCGCTTTTTAAAGCATTTTTTTTCCTGCAGGTTCAGGCGAGTAGGCAGGGGAAAAAATGCTTTAAAAAGCGTGGGGGCGGAGCTTCTGACGATCGCGGGGCGCAGCTGTGATCCGCGCGATTGTCGGAAGCTTTTTTTTTTTTTTAAACTACCGGTTCCCAGAACCCAGGAGAATCATCCCTGATGAACCGGGAGGATTTTCACCCCTGCTTGGAAGGAGATTGAAACGAATCCAGCAAAAGAAAGCCGTACTATTCTCGAATTATTTTTCTAGACTGTGTTGGCAGCCATTGTGATGGTCAACCTGAAAGGCATGTTCAAACAACTTGGAGATATCGTCCATTTCTGGAGAACCAGCAAAATTGAACTGGTGAGTGAGTGATTCCGTGCCCCTCAGCTTCCTTTCTTCAGCTTGTCACCTCTGCAGATAAGTCCTCGACTTACAACAGCGACCGTTCGCAGTTACAACGGCACTGGAAAAAAGTGACTTAAGACCATCGTTTCACTCTTATTTATTTTTTTATTAGAAAGTTTTTTAATTTTAATTTGAAACAAGTACAACATCTTTCTTTACATCTATAGAAAATGTATCAGTCGATCACAAATAAACATCGTTTCACTCTTATTTATTTTTTTATTAGAAAGTTTTTTAATTTTAATTTGAAACAAGTACAACATCTTTCTTTACATCTATAGAAAATGTATCAGTCGATCACAAATAAACATCGTTTCACTCTTATGACGGCTATAGCCTCCTATGTGGTCACATGATCAAAATTTAGACCAGGGAGATGGCAACTGATTCATATTGATGACTATCGCAGTGTAGTTCATTCTAGACCTCAAGCATTGACATATTCAATATATCCTGAAAATATTTATACACTTCTGCAGATAATCCATCTGGCCCTGGTGTTTTATTTTTCTTTTGTCTA